ATTTAAATGAGTTTTCAGGACACACCTGCCAGGCTGAGATTACCATCTGGTCAGATCCCACAAATTTAGGAACAGAAACAAGCTTTGTGCTGTTTGTGTGTGTTTGATGATTAACCAGTGAGTGATACCGAGCTGTGTGTTACCCTGAGCATATGCCAGAAAACCCAGGGAAATCAATATTACAATCCAGCCATTCATGTTCTCTATAGAATTTCTCACAGTGATGCAGTGAGGGATGAGGAATGAAAGGCTTTTATTATAATGGCTGTCTGTAAAACACATTAATTATCTCTATCATGTATAAATATACCTGTATTTTTCATAAATTTTCTTGACCAGAGTGATTGACCTGAAACCACTTGATCCCAATTAAGAGTGATGAGAAGGAAGTGAGTAATATTTTTCTGTGGCTGACATGGTCTACTGTGCTTTATCCTGAAAAAAATGCAATACTCCAAATAAACCTTAGACATTCTCACACCACTGCTATAAAATAGTTGGTTAAGAGTGATTCATCCCACTGATACCCAGAACTGATAAAAGAACATATTTTATAGCTGCTGAGACCTTACTGAAGTAATTTCTCCAAAGAATAAAATGATGGACTGTATAGATACATTGCAGTTAAGAAGAGAAACTTTTGCCAAAATCTTAAGTGAAATGAAAGAGAATCAGAATGCTTTTGTGCATTTAAAATGTTGCAAAGTATTTCTTAGAGATTAAAACGAAAAAATGTTCTAAATGGCAAACCTGTGTAAATATCTTGAAAAATAAAAATGTGGCAAGGACTAAGCTAATCAGAGCCATCATTAAAAGTGCTCTCTAAAGTATGGCAGACATATTTATTTTTATATGATTGCTTTCTCTTTAACAAGTTAAAATATAAAGAATGATGAAGTCTTTATACTACTGTGTCCATAAAAGGTTAGGTAACACACATTAATAAGACATTGTCATCTGTTCTGTCCAAAATCTGCATTTGGAGGGCTGACATGAGCAGGGTTTTGTAACTTAACACTAATGAGAAAGGCATCAGGTATGAAATGAGGTTTCAAATGTTTTATACGTGCCTCAATAGATGGGCCATCGTTAAAGCGAACTATGTAGCGGGACAGGTTCAACACTTCCATGTGCTTTTGTCTGCAAGAAATTAAATTCTACCTGCCCTCAGAAGTGTGTAATGCTTTTAGGTGCCAAGGCTTTCTAGGAAAGTCCCAGCAGTACCTCTGTTTCTGTTCCTAGACGTGCTCTCAGCCACCTAAGTGGAATGCAGCTGCCTCTAATTCCTGCCCGAGTCGCACGGGCCTCTCTGAGTGTACAGCTTTGGTACTTCACACACCTCACCTTCAGGAGTTCATCTGGCAGGCACACACAGAGCATGGCTGGATTGCACACAGAGTTTGTATTTTGGCGTTTTGGAACAGTTGCATGGGAGGAGGAGACCCCTGTTACAGCTCCCAGCTGAAATCTGATCTCTCCCCTTCTAGGAGGGTGCTATAATCATTACAGTATGTGTGTTCTAAGATTGCACTCAATTAGAGCCCTCTACCTAAAAAAATGAATCTGCAGTGAACAGCAGCGTGAATTTGCAGTATCCTTGCTACTCTGAGCCAGCTTCCCACACAGGAATTAATTTACACATTTTGTTTTCAGTAAGGTGACTTTTACAGAGGCTCTTGCTTTGCACACTCCCCGTTACACAGAGCCTCTGCTGGCTTCTGATCTTGAGCTGTGGTTTAGTGACCAACACCTTAAACTCTGCCTCCCCTTACATCGCCCCTGGAGCCAGAGGAAACCCAGCTAGCACTGATGAACTCCTGATTCCTCTGTCCTTCAGGTTCTGAAAAAATTATAGAAGTGCAGAAACACGGGTGTGGGAGCTGGTAATTAAGAAGAAGAGAGGTAGTAGTTTGTAAAGCTGCCTTTTGGTTTGAAGTGGTCACCTGTGGTTTAAGCAGTCCATTTTGATTTTTCACAGAGAAAGACTGAGAGTTTGCTGAGAGCCATTTTCCAAAGCCAGGCCTGTACAGTGGGGATGGAGTCTGTGAGCTCTTCTACCCTCTTTCTTTTACCTTCTACCAAGGTCAAGTAGGATAATCTGAGCACATTACAACACAATATTTGAGTCTTGTGAAATGGTTTTATTTTCCCTGAGTGAAACTGGAAAAATCAACATTTTACCGTGATACAGCAATTTCAATAGAAAAAAAATATATCTTATCTGATCATGTTGTGCAAAATCTAAGGCTTGGTTATTTTGAAAGCCATTGATTTATGAATGCAGCTATAAAAGCCACCTGTTAAGAATTCAGCCTTCTAATTAATATATTTTAACTTTAAAGACTTATATGCTACTGGGAGAAATTAAAATGTTTTAATTATGTCTAATCATCATGCCTTCAGTGAAGCTGCTAAGAATTTTAGCATATTTTAAAAATAGGTAGGTACCAGTCTACACTTTCAATCAGGTATAATCAATAACATTAACCAATATCCTGAAATTAAAATGAAGATACAGAATATAATTGCATCATGGCAGGCAGTTTTGGCACTATTACCATGCAGCAATTTTAATTTTGCTCTGGTATTCTGTTCACCTGTTATTCAGCCAATTACAGTTTTGCAGTCCCTTGCCTTTCCTCCCTTTCTTTTTTCATATACTAATATTTGTCTCATAAATGCATCTGAAGAAGAATGAATGTGTAGAGTCCCACCAGTCTCAGTGGAAGCCCAAAATAATTCAAGGAATTATTCAATATTCAAGGAATTGTCAGTTTAGTGCAGGAACTATGAGCAGCTCCCTGTTTTACTCAGGCCTGAACACACTAGGGCCACTATGATATGGCAGAAAACCCTGCTGATCTCAGGTTAAGTGGTTAATTAAACAAGGTTGAGTGGTCTAGTGTCTGTTTAAATCTCACCTTTTACGATACAGAGGATATGTGCTCATTTTCTCATCTGTTTTACAGGCATTTGGCCTTGGAGGGGAGGGGTAACTCTGGAGAAATCAGAAATCTCTTTCTTAGAACCAATATTGCAGGTGCAGCCGCACCTCCAGCGCTGTGCTCAGTTTTGGGCCCCTCGCTTCACAGAGGACACTGAGCTTCTGGAGCCTGTCCCAAGGAGGGCAGTGAAGGTTGTGAAGGATCTAGAAAACATGTCAGATGAGTGTCTGAGGGAGCTGTGGGTGTTAATCTGGAGAAAAGGAACCTTGGGGAGACCTTATGGCTTTCTACCTCGAAGGCAGATATAGCCAGGTGAGGCTTGGTCTTGTTTTCCATGTCTCAAGTGAGAGCATGAGTGCTCAGAAGGAATCCAGAAAGGATCTTGTGGGGTTTGGCAGAAGGTACAGACACCACTGAGTGTTTATTTGTAAAGGCACCCTCCTGAGGAGCTGTCCTAATGTGCTTAAATTAGACTGAAGGATTTGGACATTTCCCAGTCTGGGTTACAGAGGAGGGGAAAGGAGCCCTTTATTTGTGTTATCTCATAGTCCCTGGCAAATACATGGTTAAGTAAGAACTGTGGCCTTCTGTTCACATTCAACTATTTCAGTGCCTTTGTCATCCTTTCTGCTATTGTCAGAATTAATGTGGGATGTGATGATTTAGGAAATGGCAGCAAATACTGTGGTTAAAATGCTTCTAGACTTCAGTACAGGCTCTGCAACAGATCATAAATGTCATGATCGCATATCGAGTATTCTAAAATAGCAGATTATTTTAGGAAATAATATCAGATCATGCATTTGGAGATCAGTGCTTGCCCAGAAGAAAAAAAACCCCACAGTTATGGCTGACCCTCCAAATTCTCATATGTAAATGCCATATGAATAATGCTCTTCACATGGATAATCTCAAGAACGACTCCTCCATTGTAATTGGCTGCCACACAATAATGCCAAAATTTATTGTTTAAACTGGGAATCTTTTTGCAGTTGAGTTATTCCATAGCTCTGCATTGCCCCATCTGGCTCCTGATAGGATTTGTGCCTTGACATCCTCCAGGACTGGAGCTCTCCAGGGACCCTGGGAAGGAGGTTGGGCCCAGCAGGGTCATGTTGCCCCCACACAGGCTCCTGAAATTCTGATGAATGTGGCCAGCAAAGGCAAATTAAGGGAGAGGAGAATTTTGCCCACAGCTATGGAAGAGAAGAGTTAGGTCTGGTTGATTTAGCTCTGTGGGAAGCCACAGTGGTACATACAACATGTTAATGTTAGGGTGTTTTATTGTATCACTCTCACATGCTGTGTTCATTTGTAGGGACAACATGACTTCCATAACATTTATTTTAGGGTCATTTTATTACTTTAATAATGCAGATTTAGGTTGTAATTAAAGCCTGTATGATTTGTGTTAATAGCTTGCAGCTTTGTTCAGCATATGTTTAGATATTATAAAACTCTTTCAATAGACAATGAATTCATTTGTCCCTTTCACTTATTAAGATGCATGTGCACTTCATCAGGTTTATTCTTTGTAAATTTTGAGTGTGCAATTCAGTCGTAAAGTCACATAGAGACACATGCCAAATTTGGGACTTGATGGATTATGACTGCCCTTGTGAAAGAAAGAACTAAGAAAACAAGAAATCATTATGGTAGTTAATGTTAAAATAATAAATTTTTGCCTATTTAGCCACATCTTTGCAATTATCCCACTACTCACTTACATGGCATTGTTAAATATGTTTCTGACTAGAATAAATTTATATGTTATTATGGATTTCATGCTTTTCTCTTACTGGTCTAATAGATTAAATTCTTTCCTTTAAAACTGCACCTTTCAATTAAATTTGATTATTCCTTTTTCTTTCCCTTATTTGGCATTCTTTGTCCTCTGACATAATCCTTAGCGCATTTTATACAAAGGCGCAGCTCTGGTTCCCTTTTAACTCCCAGTATTTTCTGACAATGAGCTTATGTTGTCCACATCATCTGCTACAGAGATTATTTTCACTTCCAGTTCCTTTAAACTGTTTCTCTTGTAACAGGACCCAGGCCCAAGAGGTGTTGAACATTTCTGATGAGGAATCAGGTACCTTCAACGTTATGTGACTGCAGAGTGCACCCTGAAGCAGCTGAAACAATATTTGGTGAGGATTTAACAGACCTTTTTTTGTGACACCTAAATGTCATACACCAACCCAAAGACCCCTTCACTAGTTTTGTTTTCCATCTATATATTATAGGGAAGAGAACTGGAAAAACATTGAGGTTTTTCTTTTCTTCTCTATTCCTATTTCTCACCTTTTGTGTTGTTTTTAATTGGTTGGTTTTAATTGTTTGGGGTTTTTTTTGTTTGTTGGTTTGGATTGATTTTCTTTTTTTTTTTTTGCATCAGAGAAAGAATAAGGGAATTATATCTCTTTCCTATTTTTAGCAATAATCATTCTAGCACACTCTTCTGTATTCCAGTATGGACAGCACGAAAAACATGAACAGCCACCAGCTACTTTTCTTTGTCTGGAATATCTCACATATCAAAATGCCTCATGAGATAAACAGGTAATTACCATGACCTTCAAAACTGAGAGTGTAGATATTTGGAAGGGATGCTTATTGGCTGAAAATCCTAGATCAAATTATCTGGAATTTTGGGATTGGTAAAATCAGAATCCTAATTTGAATCTTATACAGTCAGTATTTTTATCTCTTCCTTATGCTTCCCTGTAATTTTCTCTTTATAGTAAGAAAGTAAGAAACTAAAAGGCTTTCTATGGCATTTTGTTTTCATTTCATGGTAGAGAAATTGAGAAATTTTTAAATGTGTTTTTCTGAGCATAATTAAAAAAAAAAAAGAAAAGCATAATTAACATAACAGTTTACTCTCCAAATGTTTCCCTGCAGTCTTCTGAAAATAATCTTCTACAAACATATTTATTCTTCAAATTGTTCTCAAAATGGTCTTAAATATACTGTCCTTGTTTACCAATCCAAGCATGTGCTGTTCTAACAACAGATATCAGCTCTGAAGAAGCTACAAAGAAAAGGGCTTATGCCTAATACAACCTTTTCCAAAATCTGAGTTATTAACCTGAGTTTCTGGGTTGGACACTTTTCAGCTCTAACTGTATCACTTGTAAATGTTTCATTATCTCAAGGTGTCATATTGATGTAAAGTAAACCTGTCTGGTTGGGTTTTTGTTACGTTTTCCTCCCTCCTTTTTTTCTTTATTTCAGGAAGAAGAGTGAGAAAACAGTTTGAGCCACTGGGTATCAGGCAGCATGGTTGCTGTGCTAATGAAAATTTGGAACACCGTTGCAAACTGGAGTGTTTGGCAGAAGCAGGAATTTCTCTGTGCTGTTTACGAGGTATATAAAAAGGTCAGTGTTATTTTATAGATTTTTAGCCTTAGCAATATTTTTTTTTATGATTTACTTTTTTTGTTTTGTAACAACCATGGTTTGGTTTTTTGTTTGTTTTTTTTTTGTTCTGGATATGGAATGTAACTTTTTTGATTGCCTGGCATGTTCTAGGAAAATAAATTGTGTTTCAAAATTCCAGACACACTTTGACTGTATTATTAAGAAAACATTGCTCCTGGAATAATAAATGGTAGGGTTATTTTAAGCAGTTGTGTTACATTTTCTAAATCTGCAAAAGAATCAGAACAATAAAAGAATGATCAAGGCTGGGTTTCTTTTGTTTTAACAGGCAGGTCATCAGTTGGCCTATTGGCAAAACTCCATTCATTGTCATGGATTTACATGAATTTCCAGAAGTTGCAGATTTGGGCAATAGCTTCTTAAGTGTTTCAGAATTATTGTCTTTCATCTGGCAGTGCCAGATGAAATTGAAAAGTACCAATTACAAGATGATTTTTGTGAGGTTAATCTTCCCCTCCATGGATAAAGGGCAATAAGTGCTCTTTTGGGCCACAGGACAAACTACATTGGCCAATATAAGCCAACATAAGATAGTGAAGTGAGACTCTGAATGTGATAAAAAATACACCAGGCCCTATATCAAACACAGGTAGTTTATTTTTCAACTGAAATTCAGACGTTTTAATATTCAGTTGTGAATGGGACGATGCCTTCCATTTGATAAAAATTGAAGTCTCGGAGTTTAGATTCCTTTCTTTCTTCTTCATTTTCTTAGTGATGCTTCAGAAAAGGAAAAAAAAATAAAAAAATTTCTGAACTTCCATTTTTCCCTGCAAGGTGCTTAGATTTTTGAGAACCATTGGTACATTCAGAAATGCAGAGCCATGTATACACTGCCAAGTACAGAGAAAGAGCTGCAAAGTGTTGGTGGTTTCATAAGACTGTATTCTTTCCTACTCTGACTCCCCCAAAGAAATCTTACTATTCTCCTTTTGCTAGCAAGACTTTTATTTTTTTTTTGTCTAGGTAGAGAACTGAATGTAAAGCAACACAATTAAAGCCTATTGATTTAAGCAACATCTTATTATTTCAATAGTCTAGCGACTGTGCTCCCCCTGTGTGGCCTGCAGCCCATAGGTATAACACGGTTCTAGCAGCTGTGAAAACACTCTGCCTTCCCCGTGTTTAGATACCTATCTGTGGCTAGGGAGCAACAGAGGAAGTCAAAACTCCAAGAATATAATGAGGGTAGAGAATGTACGGTCGGCGCGTTTCTCCCCAGTCTTGCTAAGTAAAGCAAGTTTGAAGACTTGTCCTTTTGTCCTGCCAAGTTTACCAAATCTGAACTTTCTCAAACACTGTGTGAGCTTAATTTCATTCTTCTAAAGACAGGCCCCTCCAGTCCTGTGAGACTCTGGCTCAGGGCTTAAATCTTCCTCCCACAGAGGCTGGTGTGATTTAGCCCATACAGAGGCATAGGTCACAGGGTTAAATACAATGAACACTGGTGGTTCCTCAAGAACTATATTGAGTTCTCAAATCTGGTTTTGAGTTCAATTCAAATGTGCAGTGGGTACAGAAAAGAGTTTTCAGACTTAAATTAAGAATTAGGCTAAAGTTAGCCACCTGATTCAGTAGATGTTAAGATGTTAAGTAGGAGTTTCATAGCAGGTGAATAAGTTAATCAAGATTTGAGAAACATAAAATGTAAATCCTCTTTACCACGATAGCATGTCCTTTCCAGAAAAACTGTTTCTGCAAAAAGACTTTCTTTTTGTTCTTCCATCAATGGTATATTTTTGGCTTTCTGAAATAAGTGATCAGTCTGGAAAAACTACAAAGCTGAGCATGACTTTGGTAACCGAGTTTAGAGGTGTATTTGAAAGGGCATCCCTCTTTCTTCCCCACGTTTGCTGCCTTTTGTAAATCAGGTATTGAAGAAATGCCTTAAAATCATTCTCTGATCCTCAGGCTAAAAAATGTGTGCCACAGAAATCCTGGTGGGGTTTCATGTCATCTGATGTGGATGTCAGCACAACATGCAGCCTCCCCTTTGGAGAGGAGCTGTGCTCAGTACCTGCCTGGAGATGAGTAACAGATCATCCAGGCATTTTGACATCTGTCAATCCCTGGAGCAATTGCAGCTTTTGCCATCCTGCCTTTGAAAGCAGCTACTGCTGCGCTGTAATTCACAGCCTATTTATTGCTGGGGGACGTTTTTCTTTTCATTTATTTTAATTTGTTTTCCTTGTGTCATTAAAAGCAGTAGAGAGGTCTATAAAACAAGCACAACCTTAGGTAAACACCACAGCAGGCTGCTGAACTCTTTTAGGGACCCCATTTTCATCTATAAATTGTAAGTAGCTACTCAAACTACAGGATTTTGCTATGATCTACATAATTTTCTCTCCCCAGCTGCAGATGGCTTCGAATCACTATCACCTTTGCAGCTGGACCTATCACATATACAGTTGATCATTGTAGGTCCTTTCCTACTGAACTGTTCTATTTTATCTCCTGTCCCCATGGAGGTCAAATTCCTTCTGTTGACTCTGACTTTTCTCCTCTCAAGTCATGGATTTGATTGTCAGCCACTTTAGTCCCTTTTAGTATCCATTTACCAAATACCTTTTAACATAATTCCAAATTCTTGTTGAAACTTTATATTTTATAATTATTATTTCACAGATTTTCAAAGCTCTGCAGGCTTTGTCTAAAAATAAACATGGCAAAACACACAAAAAATAGCCCAAGCCCTCTTGCTGCAACAAATAGACCTGTTGAGGGAAGAATTTTATGCCTATGTCAGCCAGAGAATGAATAGCCTGACATGAACAGCCATTTCTGTGTTATGTTACTGATGAATTAATTAAATTCTTTTCAAACTGTAGGGATTGGATTCTTACTATGCCAGTCTCACTTGAATTTTTTTGGTGCTTGTTCACTGAAGTTTAGAGTTTAAGTACTACTTTTCAATATCTATATATTTCTCGTGTCCTTATTGTCATAAGGGGATATGGATGTAATTTAAAGGTGGCCATCTAATATCTTGAGAACACAGTGAGGTGGTTAATCTGGTGATATTTGCATCGTGCAGTAAAAATTACAGCAGTACAGTGTCCTGGAGAACACAAGCTAAGTAACTGCAGGATGGCTTCAGTGTCTAATGAGTAGCCTGAGCTGGTATTTGGAGGGGCACAACTCAGATATGATCATCTTAGCCTAAAATGGCAGAGTGCCTGCACCATTCTGGAAAAGATGCCAGGGGCTGGGCCAGCTATTTTGTCACTGGGTCTTAAAATCCATCTGTTTAGGGGTATGGAATTGCCTGGCTTGTTATACACTCTCAGCAGATGAAGCAATCAGCAACATCTCTACTCCCTGCAACTCTGCTAGCCAAGGCTCCTCTTGGCTCGTTGTGTCCAAGTCAGAATTCCCTCATCCGCTTGGAATTCTTGTTTTAAAAACACAGAAGCTGATTTTAGAAACACTAAAGCCAATGAGAACTGCAAGAGCGCAGCACCTCTGGGAATCCAGCCCACATCCCTTTTGTTTTGAGTGTAGGATCGATCCTAAATGAGAAACCTTTTGTATTTTGGAAACTAAGAAGGAGCTGAAACAAACTTCTTCATACTTGGCAAAAACAGAATTGCTCTTGATGGAGACCAAGCATGGAAAATTCTGGTCTGAGAGGATTATGTTTGTCAAAGTTATGACAAGTCTGAACAGAGAGTTTTACATAGAAATCCCTCTCATTTTACTGTCTACAGTGACAGTAGAATATATTTATGCAAAAAAATAAAATATGAGAAGTTAGATTTATACTCACCAAACAATTACTAGTAAGCAAAAACCAAAACCAGATCAGCATAATGATGTTTTTGTCAAGCGTAACAATTTTGGTTTGGCCCAAATACACAGATACAGATTTGGACTTTCTGTCACAAGTTGCCAAACATTTGTTTTCATTTATATCTCTGTATTTGTGCGTGTGCATATTGACAAAGGGGATTTGACTCCAAGAAGAAGAGAGCTATTTTCCAAATCCCAGCACAAATCCCTCTATTGACTTCACTGGGAGTTGGATCAGCACCTTGGTGAGTATGTTCAAAAGAGAGTGTCCAGAGTTAAACTATCAGTTCTCCATCCAACTCTCATTGAAAACAATTAAGTCTTTCCATTAACTTCAATTACTCTTGGATCTAGGTTTAAAACACAGATTTTGTCTAATAGGACATATGGAGGCTATCCTATTAAGCGTGTTTCAATCACATGAGGGCACAAGAATTTAAGGACAGAGGGCTGAAAGCCAATATTAGCTGAATATTGGAGGTTAGAAAAATGCAAAATTAGTAACTTTTAAAAGGGCATGGTTGCTGCAGTAAATCAGAAGACTTCATTCCCTTTAAACCATTTTTAGCATTTAAAGATGACTGAACTGTGGCTGCCTTTGATTGTCCTGACTCAGAAAAGTATTCAGCAGTTAAGCAATGCAACTTAAGTGTGAGCATAACTCCTCTCTTAAGGAGGGGAGGAATTAAACACATGCTTTAGTGATTTCCTGACCTGAGGCTTTTATTTTCCTTCTGTGAATATTAGTGAAAGTACCTTTTTGTTCATAAGAACACTCATGAAAAGCACATTTTGAGCCCCTGGCTCAGATTTGCTTAATCTAATCAAGGAGGAGAAAGTCACATGATGTATATTAGGTAACCAGTTGCACAATTTGTGGGTGACCATTAAATCATTTCAGATAGTAAAAATTGTAATAACTTTCAGCATGCTCTCAGATAATTCATAAACACAATACAGAACTGTTCTCTAGCTCTGGATGTTCTCTCAGGGAGGAATATTGGAAGACAAACACAAACTCCAACTTAAGATAGACTGTTTTCTTATAAGGTAAAAACCTCCATAATTCCCTCCAAATGTGGAAGGAGCTTCTATTTTCTGCATTGCTCTG